TATATTTACAGTCTATCTAATAATAATAATATATTTACAGTTTATATGATAATAATAATATATTTACAGTCTATCTAATAATAATAATATATTTACAGTTTATATAATAATAATATATTTACAGTCTATCTAATAATAATATATTTAACGTATATATAATAATAATAATATATTTACAGTTTATATAATAATAATATATTTACAGTCTATCTAATAATAATAATATATTTACAGTTTATATAATAATAATATATTTACAGTATATCTAATAATAATAATATTTACAGTATATCTACATCACGTGACTTCTCTAATCTTTTTTGTTCTCTGAACAGAGTATTATTGTGTCTTTGTGTGTTTTTTGGGTCAAACTTTAAAGGCTAACTGTGAGGTCAACGCTTCATTTGTATGCTAATGAGGGGGAGGAGCTAAACTCTAATCTAATCTGTTTTAAAGTGAAAGTCTTTATCTGTGAAATTATATTAATAAAAACACAATAATAAACGTGGCATCTGGATCTGAGGACCAACATGGAGGAAAGAAATAAAGGATCTGGATCTGAGGACCAACATGGAGGACACAAATAAAGACAATAGAGATGATGAAATATTAATAACAACAAAAAGCTTTAAGGCTTCTGTTGATATTTAATGCACACAAGGGACACTACCAGTCTTCCATGTGCGCCTGGTCAGGTTCAGGACCCAGACCAGGATCTAAAAGCAGATCATGAACCAGACCAGGGACTTGTGCATCTACTGTGTGTTGATCTCAGGTAACCAGGTCTCAGGTATTCAGGTCTCAGATAAACTGGTCTCAGATAAACTGGTCTGAGGTCTCAGGTAAACTGGTCTCAGATAAACTGGTCTGAGGTGAACTGGTCTGAGGTCTGAGGTGAACTGATCTCATGTTCTTTTCTTTGTAACACAGAAATTGTGATTTTTTAATGGTGAGATGATGAATAGTAAATAGATGGTGTGTGTGTGTCTTCCTGTAGTTGCTACGTAGTGAGGACCTGAGTTTTATACCAACAGAGTGAGGACATGTTATCCGGTCCTTCAAGGGTCTGTTTAAGGGTTCAGACTTGGTTTTGAGGTTCAGGTTTAGTGAGATGGTTTAGGTGGGTGAGGGGCTTTCAATGCATCATATCACTGCGGGTCCTCACAAAGATAGAAGTACAGGGATGTGTGTGTAATATGAGTGTTTGTGTGTGTGTGTGTGTAAAATGTGTATGTGTTATGTGTGTGTGTTCAGTGTCTCCTGGTGTTTCACTAATCTCACTTCCTGCTTATCATCCTCTCATCTATACTGTTTTTACAGAGTGTGTGTGTCTCTGTGTGTGTGTGCATGTGTGTCTCTGGGTGTGTGTGTGTGTGTGAGAGATGAGCAGTAATTGGGTTTGGTGTTCCCACAGTTTTGACTTGCAGGTTATCAGATGAAGACATGTCAATTGTGATTCATGTTTTGTCAAATTAATGTTATGATTTCAGTTTTCTGAGTTTCTAAAACTTTTCTAAACTGAAAGTCGAAAATATTTTGTTGACGTTCTTCTTCTGCTGCTGTTCAATTATAACAAATACAATTGCAAACAAGTTGTAAAGATAGGGCTCTATATCATGTGGTTGCACCTAAGAAAGTAAAAGAAATCAAGCGGAACCGACGTGACATGCACTGTGTTCCAACCACGCCCCCCAGAGCGGCTCATGTTACAGAGAGATTGTCTAGTATTTTTATTTCTAATTAAATTTCGTTTACAGTTTTACTGTTTATCAAAAATTACAACAAACTTAATTCATGCAAAAAATCAAACAAACAAAACCAAAGAAAAAACAACACAGAATGTCGTTCAGAGCCCAAATGTTCACAAAGAGTTCAGTTTTCTTTGTCAGTCTGTAGAAGCCAAACTCCACCCTGAGCCGAGCAGCCAGCAGTCCGGTCAGCATCAAGCTCACATCCTCTGACCCTTCACCCCTCACACGGGTTTTCCTCGTTTTCCAAATTGCTAGTTTGGCCAGTCCTGAAAGGAAATTCATTAGTGTGTGGACAGATTTTTTTTTTTAGCAGAGTAGTTTGGACCACAGATAAAAAGACAGAAAGAAAAGTGTTCTCCTAAGCCCTGAAACCACGCCTTCAGGCGGCTGAAGATTCTCACCAGTCTGGAGCACTCAACGAACAGATGGTGGATGGTTTCTGTCTGCGAGCAGAAAGGACAGCTGTCCCCTGAGCCAGGATCCAGGTGCACCAGATACCTGTTTGTAGCTATGGCCCCATGTACAATAATCCACTGGAGGTCTCCTGTCCGTTTGTCTGCAGGGGGTTTGTACAGAGACCGCCAACAGCCCCTTGGGGAGGATCCCCTGCCAAAAGACTCGGACCACCTCGACACCCTCACTCCTGCCAGAGAGCGCAAGTTAGAGACCTTCACACTGACCTGATACGCTGCTTTCCTCCCCAGAGTCTCAAAGTCCCACAACTGGGGTGTCTTTAGAGACAGCAGGATGTCCTCCTCATCCTCCCACTGTCCCACAGCAGGACAGACAGCCAGGGGTGGGAAGACATATTCACATTCATCGTCCCATTGGTCAGATATTGTACGGTCTCCAACAAAACCTCTGAGGACTTCTGGCAGGGAAGCACAGACTTCCTCCACCAGCCTGAGCAGCTGCTGGACCGGATGTTGATCAGCTCCACTAGTTGAGGGATGGAGGTCTTCATCAGATGACCCAGCTTCACACAGCTGGCCTCTCTCAGTCTGGATCTCAGGCTGACGGACGTCAGGACCTGGGATGTGATGTAGCTGCTTCCAAACAGCGGCTCCTCAAAGAGCCACATCCCTGGTATTGTCACAGCTCTCCGCTGGACTGTGAAGACCTGCCACACCTGTAAGACGGACTGGTGGAACGGTGTCAGACCAGTTAGATCCACTGACTGGGGCTGAAGTAGGAACAGGTGTTTGTCACAACCTAAGCGTCCGGCCCTCCTCAGCAGCACACAGGCAGTATCAGTCCATGGCAGGCCGAAGCTGTACAGCAGTCTCTGAGCTGTCTGCAGTCTGAAGGCTGTGATGGGTGATGTGATGTCCACCAGGCCCTGCCCTCCCTCCTGGACCGGCAGGTACAGCACCGCAGATCTCAGCCAGTGGAGCCCTGACCAGAAGAAGTCCACAACTGCCCTCTGGATTTCTTCAATCAGGCCCTGTGGTGGAGGCAGGACTAACAGTCTGTGCCAAAGGGTCGAGGCAACCAAGGCATTGACAGTTAGGACCCTCCCCCTGTAGGAGAGCTGAGGTAGCAGCCATTCCCGTCCAATAGACCTTCCTGTCACCTCATCAACATTAAACAAACAAACCCTCACCCTGTGCACTGAGAGATGAAACAGAGCGGTGATGTAGACAGAGAGAAGAACCAGTAACAGAAAGATGAAGTGAATCACATCTATAGACTCACTCAGAGGTTCTTAACCTTTTGGAACCGTTCCCTTCATCTCTCTTCTTTAGCTTCCTGAGACTCGTCATGAGCTTCTTTAGACGGAAACGTCTTTTCATCTAATGAATCACTTTCTGTATGCTGAAACACTTTTAATGAACTTGTTTGCGTCTGGAAAATACTCTAAAATGTCTACAGATTTTCCAAACGTTTCATCCAGGAAGTTATTAATTTCATGCATCTTGTACAGATCTCCAGTTAATAACTGTGAGTCTGTGACAGAGACCGTCAGAGTCGTACTCCATCTCCTCCTCCACAACACAAGCCCCCGCACTCTCCTCTGGACCAGCAGCCTGACTCTGGTCAGCTTCAGCTGTCGGCCCTTTACTGCTGCCTCCTCCATTTTCCCTCATACCTTCCTCTGCTACTTTCCTTTCCTCTGCTTCTTTCCTTTCCTCTGTTGTGAGACTCAGAACAGCTGAGTTCTCATCAATAACCTTTCCTCCTCCTGAATCATCTCTCTGTTCCCGTCCTGACCGTCTGTCCACTGAGCTCCTCCTTGGCCTCGGTCGGCGGGTCATCAATTTTAACATTTGAAGTTAATTTTACTTTACATATTCAGAATGTGATGTAATAATGTGTGAAAGCACGTGTTAAGAGACATATTTTTAGTTTTGATTACAAATCATAATTTCTAAATTTGCTAATATATTTGTATGATCTAAACACATTCCTTTGATTTATGAATGGAGGTTAAATTTGTATTCTGAACTTGGGAACTTTCTTTACGAGTCAGATGAGGATCAGCTGGGACAAGAGGACGGGGGGGGACGGGCTGAGTCTCGGGTTGTTTTCCTTGGTGTAGAACGGGGCATCGGCACAGTCGTTGACCTCTCGTTGACTCACTTTAGACTGATTATATGTTACTGGTAAGTTTGTTGAAAATGAAAATAAATCAATCAAATACTGGCAGTGGAATCAGCGTGTGCATAGTTCTCATTGGACAGTTTGAAGTGTGAGGTGAGGCACGGAGCCCCGTGACATGGCCGAGTAGAGGAACAAAGAACACCACAGCATCCAGAGTCCAGTCGCTGTGCAAAGTGATTTTATTATTGCTATTTAAACTGTGAAGTGATATGTGCTTATTTTAGAAAGAAAAACGAATACTTTAGAGCTTACAATGTTCCTATATCATCAAAGGGGGCTTGACAGAAAATGTTTGGGAACAACTGGATTAAAGGAACCACAAACGCATCACAGCTGAAACCTTTCAAAGTAAAAGTTTATTCAAACATGTATTCAGTCTGACCTGAGGTCAAAGGTCACAGGAAGTCATGTGAGCTGTCTGTGACCTCATCAGCCGGTTTAAACACAGACGATGAAGATGATGAAGGTTTCTCTTTCTAGAAAACATCATCAGTGGAGGAGTTTGTTTCCTCTTCCTCCTGTGTGATGAAGGGCAGGTGGACCTCCATCCTCAAGAATCCTCCCTGCTGATTGGCTGCTGAAACAAACACATGAAATCAATGAAAATACAATTGTGTTGTATTTGTCTCCTGAACTACTACAGAGTACTACAGTATAATACAGAATCCTAGAATATTATAGAATACTACAGAATGATTTATATTTCTGTATTTATAATATATTATGAACCTCTCTCTCTCTCTCTCTCTCTCTCTCTCTCTCTCTCTCACACACACACACACAGTTATTTTGATTTCTCCTCAGTCAGTAAGCATTGTGTGGGTGTGGCTCACCTGTCCTGTAATGTGTGTGTGTGTGGCTCACCTGTCCTGTAGTGCGTGTGTGTGTGGCTCACCTGTCCTGTAGTGCGTGTGTCCTCCAGGTGAGGAGGAGTCAGGGACCCGTCGGTCTGGGGGTCAGAGTACCATTTGGCTCTGTCATCAGGTCACCCACAACAACTGAGCTCTGATTGGTTGCTTCAAAACTAACTTCTGACACATCTGGAAGAAGAACATATGTGATGTCAGAGTGATGTCAGAGTGATGTCATTATCTTCTGAAGGCAGTCTTACCTGCACACTGACTCATCTGTCCAGGTGACCACGTCTGTTCCTGCTGGGCTGTCCTGGTCCTTCTCACCTCCCCCACGCTCACCTCCTCCTGATTCTGATCCACCCTCCAGCAGCACTGAGGACGCAGCAGGTCAGAGGTCATGTGTGTACGTGTGTCAGTGTGTACCTCTGGTTATGTGTCAGTGTGTGTGTGTACCTTTGGTTGTGTGTCAGTGTGTGAGTACCTTTGATTGTGTGTCAGTGTGTGTGTACCTCTGGTTATGTGTCAGTGTGTGTCTATGTGTGTGTACCTCTGGTTGTGTGTCAGTGTGTGTGTACCTTTGGTTGTGTGTCAGTGTGTGTCTATGTGTGTGTACCTCTGGTTGTGTGTTAGTGTGTGTGTACCTCTGGTTGTGTGTCAGTGTGTGTGTACCTCTGGTTGTGTGTCAGTGTGTGTGTGTGTACACCTTTGGTTATGTGTCAGTGTGTGTGTGTACTTCTGGTTGTGTGTCAGTGTGTGTGTACCTTTGATTGTGTGTCAGTGTGTGTGTGTACCTTTGGTTGTGTGTCAGTGTGTGTGTACCTCTGGTTATGCATCAGTGTGTGTACCTCTGGTTGTGTGTCAGTGTGCGTGTGTGTGTACCTCTGGTTGTGTGTCAGTGTGTGTACCTCTAATTATGTGTCAGTGTGTGTGTACCTTTGGTTATGTGTTAGTGTGTGTCTGTGTGTACCTCTGGCTGTCTATCAGTGTGTGTGTGTACCTATGGTTGTGTGTCAGTATGTGTGATCACAACATCTCTGGGTTCTGTTATTCGCTCGCATGACTTCTCTTACCATTGTTAGGCCGATGACACCCAGCTGGTCTTGTCATTTCCCGCCGGTGACACTCAAGTGGAGGCACGCATCGCTGCGTGCTTGGCTGACATCTCAAAGTGGATGGCGATACACCATCTCAAGCTCAACCTGGACAAAACCGAGCTACTGTTCCTCCCGGGGAAGGGTTGCCCGCACCGAGACCTGTCCATCACCATTGTTGATACTGTGGTGACGCCAACTCGGACTGCGAGAAATCTGGGTGTGACCCTGGATGACCAACTGTCAGTCTCAGCAAACATTGCATTGGTTACACGCTCCTGCAGATTCCTGCTCTACAACATCAGGAGGATTCGCCCCTTCCTCACTGATGAGACGGTGCAGGTGCTCATCCAGGCTCTTGTCATCTCCCGCCTGGACTACTGCAACTCACTACTTGCCAGAGCCCCGGCGTCGGCCATCAGACCTCTGGAGCTTGTCCAGAAAGCTGCAGCTCGTCTGGTGTTCAATCGCCCCAAGTTCTCCTACACAACTTCCCTTCTCCGTTCTCTACACTGGCTCCCTGTAAGAGCTCACATCCAGTTTAAGACTCTGGTGCTAGCCTACAGGGGAGTGAAAGGAACAGCTCCTTCCTATCTCCAGGCCACGGTCAAGCCCTACACCCCCACCCGACCTCTTCACTCTGCTGCCCCAGGGCGATCGTTTGCCCCGTCGCTCAGAGGTCCCTGCAGCCGATCGACCCGGTCACGGCTGTTTTCTGTCCTGGCCCCACAGTGGTGGAATGAACTCCCCACTGACATCAGGACAGCAAAGTCACTGTCCATCTTTCATCAGGCTGAAAACTCACCTCTTCAAAAAGGCCTACCCTTAGCCTTCCACTCACCACTTATTGTATTCATACGTTTGTGGCACTTATTGCATTCGTTTGTTTCTGCACTGTACGTTGGCTCTGGTTTATGCTCTTAGATGCTTGTTTAAAGGAGATGCACTTATGACTTCTGGTGACTAGTTGTTCTCTCGAAAACCGAAGTTGAATACACTTATTGTAAGTCGCTTTGGATAAAAGCGTCTGCTAAATGATGTAATGTGTGTGTACCTCTGGTTATGTGTCAGTGTGTGTGTGTGTGTGTGTGTGTGTGTGTGTGTACCTCTGGTTGTGTGTCAGTGTGTTTGTGTGTGCGTGTGTACCTCTGGTTGTGTCTGTGCACGTGTGTACCTCTGGTTGTGTGTGTACCTTTGGTTGTGTGTCTCTCTGCTCCGTCTTGGTCTTGAGGAGGTCTTTGACGTGTTCTTCACTGGGGGGGTCAAAGTCCTGGAGGAGGGATGACAAGAAATACTTTACTCTATAGTACTAATACTACTACTGTACCATTGCTACTACAACTGTACTACTACAACTGTACTATTGCTACTACAACTGTAGTATTACTTCTACTACAACTGTAGTATTGCTTCTACTACAACTGTACTATTACTACTACAACTGTACTATTACTACTACAACTGTACTATTACTACTACAACTACTACAACTGTACTATTACTACTACAACTGTACTATTACTACTACAACTGTAGAATTGCTACTACAACTGTAGTATTACTACTACTATAACTGTAGTATTACTGTCATTAGAAACATGATCCTCACCATGTCATGAAGCTCCTGAAGAGAACTGGAGAAACTGGAGACAGGCTCCTCTGAGACAGAGAGAGAGACAGAAAAATATTTGAGTGAATTCTTTGTTGAAAGTTTTTCGGATTCTTTTAAATGTTGAGAACAGAGAGAATTGTGGAGTGATGATGAAGATGGAGATGATGAAGATGGATATGATGAAGCTGTGATGATGATGATGAAGAAGATGGTGATGATGAAGATACCTGTCATGGCCGCCAGCTGGTTGACACTGAGGAGCAGTTCTCCCTCTGAGATGTGTTTCAGCGCTGCTCCAGTCTCTGCTGTCACTGTGCTGCTGGACTCCTCTGAGGAGCTGGAGGGGGACTCTGGTCTGGGACCAGGAGGAGGAGATGGGGAGGGAGCAGGGGGACTGGAGGAGGGAGGAAGAGGGGAGGAGACAAGAGGATTCTCCTCTGCTACTGACATCACCCTGCAGGAGGACAGAGAGACTCATGTTTATATGTCCTACATCTCCAACAATGCACCTGGACACTATCCTTTCAGTATGTGTACATACAGCAGCTGTGAGCGTGTATCCAGGTGTTCCTCTGGTCTCTCCTCGTCCAATGGCAGTTCAACGTCTCCCCAGGTCAGAGGGGGAGGGGCTTGATGGACAGCAGGAGGAATTCCTGCAGAGGGGGCAGGCTCTGGGCTGGAGGTGGGCGTGGCTTCAGGCTCTGAGGTCAGAGAGAGACAACGCATCATCATCAGCTACAATAAAAGTACAGGTGCACAAGTACAGCTACAGATGTACAGGTACACAAGTACAGGTGCACAAGTACAGCTACAGATGTACAGGTACACTAGGACAGGTACACAAGTACAGCTGCAGATGTACAGCTCACAGGTATACAAGTACAGGTACACAAGTACAGCTACAGATGTACAGGTACACAAGTACACTAGGACAGGTACACAAGTACAGCTACAGATATACTGGTACACTAGTACAGCTACAGATGTGCAGGTACATTAGTACAGATGTACAAGTACACTAGTACAGGTACCCAAGAACAGGTACAGATTTAAATGTACACAAGTACAGGTATACTAGTAGAGCTAAGTCATGTGACCATGGTGGAGTTCCATTATAAGCTAACGTTAGCTTTTTACTTTCCACTTTCCACAAAAATCCTAAAAGTGGAGTTCAATAGTGAAGATTATCTGGATGAACAAAACCGGGAAGAATCAAAAACGAGATTATTTCATGTAATAATCCAGAATCACATGGAGGAATCTGATTGGCCCTTTGTGGAGGAACCAGAGATGATGACTTCGAGAAAAACTGCTGCTGTGTCTGACCTGGAGATGTGATTGGTCGAGGAGACTCGTCAGTCAGCAGGCTGGTTGGTTCAGACGGAGGGGGCGTGGCCAGGGACGGAGTCTCTCTGCTGGGCGGAGGCGTCGGTAATGGTGTAGGAACCAGTTTGTCCTTGAACAGAATCGGCAGCAGGATTCAGTTTGTGTTAAGAACACAAAGACACACTGAAGACTGAAAATTCTGTACCTCATCAAGGGATCCCGGTCCTGCTTCTGCTGGCTCCAGTCTTGGTTCTAGTCCTGATTCCAGTGAGTCCCTCTGTCCCAGCAGCAGCGCGACTTGCTCTGTCAGAACCTCACCAACCAGCTGCCGGATCAGAGCCGAGTCCACTGACATGTTGGAGTCCACAAAGAGCTGCAAACCTCCACCTCCTACTGCCTCCACTGAACCCACAACAACAACAACACCATCAGAACACACAACAACAACACCGTCATAAATCACAACAACAATACCAACAACAACAGCATCAGAACACACAGCAACAATACCGTCAGAACTCACAAAAACAACACCGTCGGAACACACACAACACCGTGAGAACTCACAGCAAAAACACCGTCTGAATGCACAACAACACTGTCAGAACACACAACAATACCAAAAACACCGTCAGATCACACAACACCGTCAGAACAAACAACAACAATACCAACAACACCATCAGATCAGACAACAACACCAACAACACCACCGTCAGAATTCACAACAACACTGTCAGAACTCACAACACTGTCACAAGCCACAACAATACCAACAACACCGTCAAAACAAACAACAACAACAACACCAGATAACACAACACCGTCAGAACCCACAACACCGTCAGATCACACAACAAAGACGACAACACCATCAGAACTCACAACAACACTGTCAGAATTCACAACAACTACACTGTCAGAATTCACAACAACACCGTCAGATCACACAACAAAACCGTCAGAACACACAACACCATCAGATCACACAACACTGTCAGAACACACAACACCATCAGAACACACAACAATAACAACACCACCACCATCAGAACACACAACAACACCGTCAGAACACACAACAATAACAACACCACCATCAGAACACACAACACCGTCAGAACACACAACAACACCATCAGTCCAGGGTCCTGTACTATGAAGAGTTTATCTCCTGGTTATCTGGTTTCACTCTAACAATCAGATCCTCTAAACTATGAAGCTGCTCATCAATTAATCAACCAGTTCATTAATCTGGTTGTGAGAGGTTCACATAAAAGGGGCGGGGTTTACAGCATCTGACCAATCACAAACATGGAAAAGTCCGCTGTCAGCAGAGCGGAGCCTTTTACAAATACAGAGAAAACTAAAATATCAGAGAAATATGATATTATGCTGCTTTATATTACATTATGTTTTTATCTGTTTTACTTTTCATGAATAAAAATATTTCCACCTTAAATTAGTGCAGAAGTGACAGTATGGTCTGTTACATCACTAAATTCCAAATACTAGACTGTCAGACCAATGAGAGACCACCAAAAGGAGAACTCTGCTCTGATTGGTCTGTCAGCCTGTCGGCTCACCGATGTCTGAGGTGGCGCTCTGCTCTTCGGACTCTGATCGGTCAGTAGAGTCGTTCTGGGCGGGGTCAGAGGGAAGGGGGCAGTACATCTCAGAGATCATCCGGGACATCAGCTGTTGCTCCACCCTGGACACAACAAGGACCAGACCAGTCCAGACCAGTTCAGACCCGTTCAGATCGGTTAAGACCGGTTCAGACCGGTGCACACTGGTTCCTCACCATTCTACCAGCCGGTTCTCGAGGACGACTCTCTGCAAGTTGAGGTCCAGGACAGAGCCCTGATCCTGGGGGGGGAGGGAAGATCTGGTCTGTGGAGGGAAGACTGGACCCTGATACAGGACCGGAGGAGGAGATGGACCTCCATCCAGCTGCACCTCCTCCTCACCTTTAAAGCTCAGCTCCTCCTGCTGAAGACAGAGACGATCAATCGGTTTATAGATCTATGAGCCATTGATTAGTTCTGATCTTCACTGTGTAATCAATATGAATATTTATAGTTGATGTTTCTTTTGTTTCAGTAAATTATCTTTTATTCAACTTAAACACAAACAAACTGAAGACTCAAATCACTGAAACTCATTTTCTAATCAACAATAATTAATTACTTTAATTTATTAATATTGATCCTAATAACTATTTAGTTGTGAGGTGAGGAGGAGGAGGAGATGAGGAAGAGGAGAAGAGGAAGAGAAGGAAGAAGAGAAGGAAGAGGAAGAGGAGGAAGTGGAGATGAGGAAGAGGAGAGGAAGATGAAGGTTACCTGGACGACATCAGACAGGAATTCAGTTCCAGGAAAGACGTACTCTTCGTCCTCCTCTTCTTTACTCTTGCTCTTAATGATGGCAACAGGAGGAAGAGGAGGAAGCAGACGAGCATCCAGCTGCTCCAGCTTCTGTCAACACAAAATCAAAAACACAAAAAGGTTTCTGTAGCTGAAAGTATCATGAAGTCTGTCTGTCCCTCTGTCTGTCTGTCTGTCTGTCTGTCAGATACAGTGATGCATCATGGGATGTGTTCACCATGATCAGCTGACAGACATCACCTGTGACTCAGATGCTCCGTCGTCCACGGCAACCATGCTACAAGTGGGAGGAGCAGCGGGTGATGATGTCACTTCCTGTTGCCACTTGGCGAGACACCTGGAGGAGGAGGAGTCCATCCTGGCACGTCCTGTAAACAATAGTTTACTTAAACATTTGTGTGTCACATTCACACAAAAATAAAATCCAGATGTTTGTTTACTGACCCAGTGGGATCGCCATGGGAACAGTCACTGTGAGGTCACCAGAGGTCAGGTGGGAGGAGCCGATGATGTCATGACGCTGAGGTCGTCCAGGTGACGTCTGAGTCTTACAGGACTTCACCTTCACACCTGATGGAGACACGGTGAGCTCTGTAGAGACGTCGTTGGCATTCAATAAAACTTTATTGACAACGCCGGTCCCACCTGCGATGCTCTCCACCAGCCGGGGGCGGGGCTTCCTGCCGAGCGGAGAGACAGGTGAGCTGAAGCGCAGGTACGGACTCTTCTTCAGGGTCCGTCTCACACCTTCATACGGAGCTCTGCCATACAGACGGCTCAGGTACGACTCAGGCTCCGCCCCCTGCAGCTGGAAACAGTGACATCACAGCAGTGAGTCCTCACCTTTCTGTCAGCGAACCGACAAATCAGATGCATGGACTAGAGAGACAGACTGACCGGTCTTCTGCTTCCTCTCTCACTTCCTGTTCCTCTGAGCGCGCTCACTGGCCTCCCCCGACCGGTGTGGGCGGAGTTCCCAGCAGCCCTCTGCTGTGATGTCATTGCAGCCTCCTCTGAGGACATCTCCACCTGGAGGAGAAAGAGGAGGATACAGATGAAGAAGATGAAGAAGAAAAAGAAGAAGAAGAAGAATGATGATTCTCATTGTGTTCTAGTCCCTCCCACCTAGGATGCATGGAGAGACTCAAGTAAACCATGCGAGGAGAGAGGACATGAGGAAATGTGTTTTTAGAGATCGGTGGAGTGATTATCCACGTGCTCCAGGTGTTACACACACACACACACATACATATATATATATGTGTATATATATATATATATATATATATATA